GTTCGCGAAACTCGTCCAACGCGCCTCTTCTCTATCCCAAGGTGGAATGTGGCTGAAATAGGGGAGGTCTCTGTACGGGGCGTAATCGGTGGTTTCGTTTGCTTTCCTTCTCTTTTACAGACCACCTCCCACCTCTAGCTTCATGACTGAACGCTTTTCCACACCTATTTTATCCCGAATCTTGCCTTTAAATTAGTAAACCGCAGGAGCTGCAGGGAATCACAAACTCACGTCTGAGCTAGCGGAAGGATGCAAGAAAAGAGACGAAAGAAGAGTTTTAGGGGCGAAAAGCAGTGACATCAGCTGGAGCAACAGCAGAATGAGAAGAGCATCCGAAGCGCTTGCCTGAGCTGTGCTACCTACAAAACCATGGTGAGCTGCCTCCGATGTCTGGATGGAAAAATTACTGCATCGAAGGTAATTGAGAAGTTCACGACTTCCATTCGGATCTCTTCAATAGCCATATCCCCTTCGAATATTGTGCCATATACACTTGGCTGCCTTTGCTGTCCTTTTCTCATCTGGAAGAGTATGGACACATTGTTCCTCCAGTTCTCTTTTCCGAATTAGAACACGCTATCCTGTCGATAAAGGGCCGTGCAGCCGGAGGCTGCAGGCTCAAACTGGAATTCTGGAGAAATGCTTGGCCATTTTTTGATAAGGCGAGGAGAGTTCTGCACCATTCAGAATGGGTACAGTGTTGAGAGTCTCAGCAGCCCATCAGCCACTAAATGCGACTGATACAACGAAGTTTAGGCAAGTATCTAGCTAATGGTAAGCTCACACTCCTTAGTAGTCTCCTGTTATCATACATGCAAAAACTGGTTAGCAAATTGAAGTTCTTCAACGAGCTTACGGTTTTTGGGCTTCAAAATCACTTATGCTTCTCATGCAAGTGGTGCTACACCTGGAACTGATGGCATATCGAGATCATTCTGTTTTTTTACGCAACACTACCACCGCATATATAATTGCGATTTCTGCATGGAATCTGGGTACAATTGGCTTGTTCTCCTCGACTGGTCACTTGGGTCTGTGTCTTACGCATGGATTCGTATTTAGATCGAAGAGGTAATTGCTTTGGCCCACCCAAGAATAACATGTTAGTTCTTCTACTCCCCTTGGATTG